CGCAGGCCGTAGGGTTGGAGAAATCAGTGCCAAAACTCGTTTTGTTTAAGGCGAAACGACGTCGTGTTGATATGGGCGACGTGGCTTCATAATAAGAGGTGGGACACGTGTCAAAAAATTAAGATAGGGCTTCCTTTTTATAGATAAGAGAATAAGATGAGTGAGTAGCCGCAGCTTGACTTGTTGTACATAGATTCTTGAGTAGTGAAAATGTTTAGAAGCATCGCTTATTCAATATTATTATCTCTTTCCCTTTTATTTCTTTTCCAACAATCAAATAAATAAAATATTTGAGTTGCAATTTCATATTTTTATTTCCTTACCTACCACAATTGCCACCAATAATTTTACTAAGGCTATGTTTGGTTCAAAGGAGGGGAGGAGAGGGGAGGAAATTTAATGGAAGGGAGGGGAGGGGAGGGGAAGGGAGGGAAACTAATTTTACCTTGTTTGGAGGGATTTTGTAGGAGGGGAAGTGAAGGAAAATAATTAACCTTGTTTGGTTAGAAGATGAAAGGGGAGGGAAAATAAAATTATGTGGACAAATATACCCTTACTTATTATATAATATTATATTTACAAGATATAAAATTGGAGGGGCACATTATGTAGTTATAATGAATTGAGAAGGACATATTAGTACAAAAACATAAAAGATTTAACTTCCCCTCCAAATTCCTCCAAAATTGGAGGGGACCTAATTTTCCCTTGGGTGGGAGAAAGGAGGGGAAAATTTTACTCCCCTTCCTTATCAAAAGTTGAACCAAACAGGGGAAAATAAAAATATTCCCTCCCCTCCCTTCCCCTCCCCTCTCATTCCCCCGAACCAAACACACGCTAAGAATCATACATACAATTTCTTTATAAATAAAACAGAAAAATGAACATAGTTTTTTCTACTTCACAAAGGTATATAAATTCGTAGATTTTTTTTTATGCAATAATAAAAATGATGATGAAAATATGCAAACTTAGGGCAAAAAAAGTTGAATTAACCCAAACAAATCAAATCAAACAAACCTAATAAGCAAATTCCAGCAATTTAATTTAATTAGGGCATCAGAATAAAGTTGTTCCCTTTCCCAAGTCCCTTCCTTTCTTCCTTTCCTTCTCTTGAGCACTCGAACACTACAGAACCCTAAACCTAACCGGCATTTCCTCATTCAATTCCTGTTCAACGTTACCTGGGTGAGAGATACAATAAAACTTTTAGAGCAGGTTCACATGGCCAGCAGAAAACTCGCGAGAGACCTTTTCCTATCCAAACATCTTCTCCTTCGTCAGCACTTATTAGTATCGCAACAGGTCTGTGTGAGCTTTCTATGCGCTTTTCCTTGTTCTTCCGCCGCGATCAATTTCTTTGCTGGTGGTATTTTGTGTAGGTATCCGGTAATTGGTCGAGGCTACCTCCTTTCCCTCCTAATGGGTATTCGTGTCGACGCCACTTCGGTGTTTTCAATGACTTCTCCAATAAGATCAAAGGGGAAGTTGACAGGTAAGTTTTGTTCCTTTAGGAATCAATTTCGTACCTTTTAGTTGATAATAATTGTAATTACATTCTCGTTTGTTTATCCAATGCAATTTGCCTGTCCTAATTTTTGTATGAGTGGGGATGCATAGAATTACTGTTTGTTGATGAACCCATTTAACACTTTGGAGCTGATTTCTACATTAAAGTTGGAACCTTGAGATGATATGCCGATTTATTTGCCTCTAGGAATCAGGATTTTAAAAAATCCATCAAGGAGATCAAAGAAAAGGCAGAAGAACTGAAAGGAGTAAAAGAAGATTTGAAAGTTAGGTACTGTTACTATAAATCTATGTTTTTTGATGTTTTGAGCTTTAATTTAATTATATAGGCTGAGACATACTGTTGTATGTCAAGGCTGGCAGACACTTCCATTCGGAGCTCTGAGATGGTGAAATGGCGAAATGCAGAACGAAGCAGACTACTGAGCAGCTGTACAAGCAAGTAGATGGGGTCTGGACGGAGGCGGAAGCAAAGGCAAAAAAGGTATCAATGTCAACTCATGCTCCTGCAGCTGCTTCTTATCAATGTCAAATATTATTTGACACTTTAGCTGTTTCTTTTTAAATGATCATACTGTTCTTTGTTGAATGGCTAGTGGCACAGAACAAGATTCATATATACTGATGATTCTTGGAGAGAGCCTAAATTTGCATGATTCGCTCGCATGCTTTTACTAATGACAAGTCTTCTTTTGTATGGTTAGGTTTATTCGAACGTGGAAGAGAAGATATCTGCTGCTAAAGAGGAGGTTTGTGAATTTTTTTAACATCTGATAGCAGTCATGTGTACAAATAACATTTCACTGATAGAATATGGTGATATCTTCATTCAGGTGAAAGGAAGCTTCGGTATCGGAAAACAAGAGGAAACAATTCAAGATGACTGTCAAAGCTTAAATAACAAAGATCGAAGCAAGTCGTCTTTCGGTGAAGAAAAACAGAAACAGGGGCAGAAAGAACAATCTGAATCCAGTGGTGATGCTGAAACACTATTCAGCAAGTTTAAGTTTGGCGTTTCTTTCATTTCTCCAAAGGTGTCCTCAGCATTCCTCACACTGAAAGGAGCAAAGCCGGTGGACTTGGTGAAGAAGGGTTATGAGATCGTTAAGGATGAACTAAAAGGTAACCCCAACAGAAGGAAACATCTTGAGTATGATGCTTCTACCTCCGCTCCATCACAAAATATTGAGAGAAGTACACGGACGGATATTGTCATGTTACCTTCAAAGCAATCTCCATGGAGTAAGAAATGGGAGGCTTTCAAGGACAAGGTGTGCACAGCCATTTTTGTATAAATTGGGTTTTTTATGGTCTGTTGACACACTTTACCTGATATTATGTTATGTTTCAGATGAGAAGGCATCCTGCATTCAAGCGCGTCAGTGGGATTAGTGAGCCTGTAATTGAGAAGAGTCAGGAGGTATTAGCATTGAAATGCCATTTTTACCGTTCCAATCTTCCTGTATGCTTTTCCTGTGCCATTTTCTGGTAAAGTTGATTAGGGCTTTTTATGACTCAGTTTTCGTTGGCAAAGCTCAATATACGATTGTACAGATGCGCTACAATTGGTGTATTTATTCTTATGCCATGTGTTTCACAGCATGCACTGTTCAATTTGCATTGTATGCTTTTTAAGCATGATTGTACAGTGAGTCCATGCTCTTCAATTGTCTTTTTATCCTTAATGCCATGTGTTTAATAGCATGATATGGTGAATTATATTGTATATCTACTTAATGTGTCTCAAATTCGTCTTTGACAATTTTTTGCTCTTGTAATAAGCTGCAATTATTGATTATTGAAGCATTTTTTTTAGTTCAGCCTCTCAAGAGGTTTTCACTAAAGGATGATCCATATAACAAAACTTTCCCACCTGTCTATGTTTACTTATTGTGGTATATTCATGCTTGGTTTGCAGATTGCCGAAGACATGCGGGAGAGATGGGAGACCAGTGATCATCCAGTTGTTCACAAAATTCAGGAGTAAGTTTTAAACATGTTATACTTAACTTTTAGTACTGTATGGGCTTTTGAGGTCCAAATGCGTATCTCAAAACTGACATTCACCTTGCTTCATTGCAGTATTAGTGAAACTGTTCTTGGAGAATCAGATGCTGCCATGTCGTTTAAAGAAATAAGGCGCAGGGATCAGTAAGAGTACACCATTCTCATTTATTTTTTGTTAAACGGTCTTTATTTCTAAATTGGATTTGCTTGTGCTAGTACTTTTTCGTTACCTGAATTTGTTGCTGAGGTTCAAGAAGTTATCAAACCAGTTCTCAATGCTTATTTCAAAGTAAGTCTTGAAAGTTCATTTGGCAATACAAGTAATTTGATTCATTCTTTATATGTCCTTCATTCTTAACATTAAATTCAATTATGAAGAAAATTAAGATCTCTATATTTGTGAGCATTAAGTTTACTACACAGTATGATGTTGCCCAATGTCATCAAAATTTTATCTTCTCTTTCGCGATGGCTTTATGTATCATTTTTCCTACAGGGGGATACTGAAGTATTACAGAAGTATTGTAGTTCTCACGTAATCGAGCGGTGTAAAGCGGAGCACAAAGCTTATCAAAGCCAAGGAATATTTTTTGACAACAAGGTGAGTATGCTTTATTACAATACTACTCAAATTTTGTTGTGGTTTATATTTTTTTCTTTTTTTTGGTAAATTGATGACATGTGAGTTCATTTGATTTGCAAGCTTAAACTATCACTTTTTATATGCATCATATGGAGAGCTGTTTAGTGCAAATTAGCAATCTTAAACTATATTGGATAGAAAAAAGGTGGTTTTCTCATTTTTATCAAGGAAATCAAAAGGATAAAAGTACACTAGCTAAATGGACTTTAAGCACTTGTTTAGAGCAGACAAGTTTTTTAATCATATATATTAAACCTTTTATTTCTTAATGTACAGTTTCTTAATCACCTGCTCTTGCCTTGGAAAAAATTTTGCCTATTCAAATTCCTACATATTACAGAGTAATGAAGATTATTACCCTGTCATATACGGTGAACTCTGGTGTGTGTGTATGCTATCGGACTGCAACCGTGAATTTTACTGAGTAATGAAAAAAATAGAAGGGGTATGCTAGAGCGTCAAGAATTTACTGCTTGGTTGTATACTGAAATTGTTATGTCCTCTGTGCAGATTTTACATATATCAGAGGTTGAAGTTCGAGAGACGAAAATGATGGGGGACACGCCCATAATTATTGTGGCTGTAAGAACATATTTTGTTTCTCTTTTTTTGTTTCTTTTCATTGTTTTGGTTATCTGTGCATAACTTCTAGTAGGGACACAAACTAATGTTGTCTGCTCTTCTATTATTATATATTTTCTGGCAGTTCCAGACACAGCAAGTTTACTGCATTCGTGATAAGCTCGGTTCAGTGACAGAAGGTGGTCAGGTAGAAATTGGAACTTAGAGCGCTTTTTCTGCTTTCGTGTTTTTTTTTTTTTTTTTTCAAAATTTTCCAACTTTATTTTGGACAGGACACAATCCACACGGTGTATTATGCTTGGGCTATGCAGCAGTTGGATCGAGAAGAAGTTGGAGAAGGAGCCCCTTACTCCATATGGAAGCTTAGAGAAATGCAGCAGCTTGGTGTTCGGGCCCTCATTTGATTATATTTCTTCCCCCTCAAATTTAGTCCGTGTTAAGTTATAGACTCGTCACTTCACTTTTGTCTAATCTTGTTGAGAAATTTTGCCCTGGCAAGTCAGATTTACACCATTCTTGGGTTTGCAGATTTTGGCAATATAGTTATCAAACTTTGGTGAAGAAAGAAACAATGAATAAGAATACATCCCTATGGTGCATAAGCATTTGGAATCCGTTTATTTAGAGTTGCTCGAAAAAACATTATCTGGACCAAATAATAGTTCATGTTGTTTTGTATTCATAAATCCAGGTGGAAGATGACTTTCACAGTTGAGCTCACAAAGCCTGGCCCATGGGTTCGTTCGGTGTAGTAGCTTGTGAAAGGGTTACTGGGCTCAATTCATAAACGAACAGGTTTATTCGACTTGCTCACTTGGACCTTTGAGCCGAAAGGCCCTAGTTGATCCAGGTAAAAGCTAACATTTTTTTTTTTTTTTTTGTGGCAATAAAATACAAGTTGGGTCCAACGTTTCAAAATTGGTGACCTGAGAGGGTTTCAGTATGGGCATGCATGTTAGAGCATCTACAATGCATTGGGTCTAGTCTTGCCTATGTGCCATGTAAATAAACCCAAGTCTTGGATGACATGGATAAAAGTATGTAAAATTAATAAAACTTACTCCAATGCAAAGAGACTAGGTCTCTACTTGGGTCTAAAATAGACTTAAGGGTAGACCGGGTCTCTTTTTCTGGCTGCCACATCAGCAGGACCCAATTTACTTTTGTTTGCATTGGAGAATACATTTTTCTAGACTAGGTCTATTTCTTATGTGTCATACAATTTTTTTTTTGTGATTGAACTTAAAGCATTGTGGATGCTCTTAGGTGGCAGGTTCGTTGCAATTGAACCTAATCCCATACAATTGTCTCAAAACCTTTTTCCGCGAGTTGTGGTTATTGGCTTAAACAATCAGATATAGAACAACATTATATTTATTTACTTAGTTGAATTACTTTCTGTTTCCTTTTTGTTTTTTCAATTTTATGGAATAATAATAATAATAATAATAATTACAAGGATAAGATATATAATTATGAAGTAAGGCATGGATTTCATCTCCAATGAGTAATATTTCAACAAATTCATACTCTCTATGGTTATGATACGTGCATAATTTGAAGACACAAAATTTATGGACCACGTAAAATATTGAGAGAGAGAGAGAGAGAGAGAGAGAGAGAGAGAGAGAGAGAGAGAGAGAGAGAGAGAGAGAGAGGATGGGAATAGGATACACATTGATTTCATTGATTTGAAGTGCATTTATGACCTATAGTAATACAGTATTAAAAAAATAAATAGGGGGTTGAAATGTTGATTAATTTTGTTCAAAGCTTCATAAATAACCAATTAATTTTGCCAGAGTACTAAAATTCAAAGCATCATATGCCCTAGCTACGACTTATTACACATCACACATAGTACTAGTATTTTTTTTTTTTTTTGTGTTAGTAGATAGTATATATGTTAGACAAATTGATCGATATTATATTTTTTTGAAGTGTATATATAATAGTACTACTACTAATGTTATATTATATCTGGGATGGAGAACATAAAAATGCATTAACCAAAGATATATGTTAGCAATTGGGATGGTGAAAAGTGTTGTGGTTATTGGTGGCCTTAACACAAAGGGCAAAAGCCCGCTGTTGACATTGAACTTCGTAATTCATTAATAAACAACTTTTGTGACTTGTGTCTGCCAAATTGTAATAAATAAAATCTTTGTACAAACAATTTTGCAGGATTATGTTACAGTAGCTAACTTTATATATATGTGTGTGTATGTCTACGTACGTTATTATTTTGTCACATGCAATAATATTCCTAACCAATCAGCTGTGTGTGATTAACAACATGGCGAGAAAAATGCCAAAAAAAAAAATCACTTATTGCACCACATGTGTTGTTTTTACCACCTCTATATATATATATATATATATATATATATATGACATGCATTTGTTGACGTATGAGTAGTCCAAAAGTGGACGTGTCCTTAAACCACCCAAAGCCGTGTAATTAGGAGAATGAACCAATTTGCATCTAAATAATATTTCATAAATAATAACTTCTTAATTATTAACAGATATATGCGAGTCAAATTTTTGAGGCTATAAAATATATAAAATATTAGAAGGAAAAAAAAAAAAATCAAAATAAAGCTGCGTGCACTTTGGTTTTTAACTTTCTCAAATACCCATGAAATGTCACGAAAATGTGATAGATCAATGGTATCTGACTGACTGACTGACTGCTGATCAAAAGTTTGGGCATTGAATTGCTTTTTTATCTTCATAAAGATTTATGTAGACCAGACCATCCACTTTCTTCTTCGTCCATTTGGGATCTTGACTATATACAATTTTGGGGATCCAGCTTTAATTCCCACTTCCGCTTCTGTTCTTTTTTTCTTTTTTAAATGTAACTTGTTAACTAACTTGGCATATTTATATTAAGCTTGGATATAAATTTTTTTGTTTTGATTATATTTTTTATTTGAGTTGGTTAAATTTGAAAAAGTAGGTATGTTCAGTTGTTAGTCGATATATTGAAATAATATTGAAAGTAAAATGCTTAAAATTAAATTGATTAAAAGTAGACGAGAGAAGATGTGATGTGATGGTTAGTTAAAATAATTATGTGACTGGATAAATAGTGAATTAAGGTTGATGTTGTGTGTAATAATGATTGATTGATATTATTTAATTATATTGATGATAGTGAGGTTGAGTTAAAGTTGAGTTAAATAGAGTGGTTGAGTTAAAAATGATGGAATTTTTTTTGTTGAATATGTATCCAAGCAAGGTGCATTTGGTTGAATTTCTTTTCTCATTTTCTATTATTATTGTTGTTGCCTCGTTGATTGGTCGGAAAAAGTGTGTATATTATATATTTATTAGCGTATTTTTATATGCTTAAATTTATCGCACATTTATATTTTTTGACTTATTTATTTATTAGATGGATTATAGTGCTTTGATATTTTTTTATGTTTTATTTTCTGGATATTGGAGTATTTTTATGAATGACGAGACGTTGAAGGAAGATTGAATAGGCAATACGGGGAAGCCCCATACTCCGCCCAGGCACCCCATACCAGTCCAATACTGGCTCAAGACCTTTTCAATTTTAGGCCCAATTATTATTATTAAATAAAGATCAAGGGTCTTACGTGAGCAAATTAATGGAATAAGTGGGCCTGATTTTGCTATCACATGATAGAGTCACGCAGCAGTCTTAGAGAGGAATTAATCACCTGTGAGCAATATATATTCAAACCGCCACACACATATAAGGGATTGATACGGAGAAAGGAGCCGCCACGCACTGGAAGAAAATAATTCACGGAACAGAGAAAGGAAAAGAGCAGCATGAACAGATAACGAGAACCCAACTAATCGCGGAGGGAAGCCGCACTCGTACACGAGGGAGATAATTAATCTCTCTCTTTTATTTATTTTTTCTTTTTTATTTATTATGTTAGAGTAGATTTTATTCTAGTTCTGGGGATGTCGAACCCTACGACTTGACGATGTTTGATTGATTTTCTTGGTTGATTATTGAGTTATGTTTTTGGAATTGTTTGTGTTATTTTGAATAATTAACCATGATGTGTTGAGTTGAATTTAGATTGATCACCTAGATTAGGCTTTACATATCTACACCTGAATTAGGCCTTCAATCCGTAATTGTTGACTTGCTTAATTCGCAAGTGGTATCCGGAAGATGGTAACTACCGGGGATAACACGGCCTATTTAAGTGAACGAACGCGTCACTACTTAGTCTAGCCTATTTTTCTAATGCGTAAAGCGGCTGATTGTATTAAATCTAAGAAGCGTTTTGTAGACTGTACAAGAAGTCAGGTCTAATCGTAAAGCGTCTCGCGGTTAGATTAAAAATAAGGAAAAATTCGGGTAACAGACCGTGTCGTTGCCTAGGGCTAGTGATTTCATAAGATAGCGAGATTTGATGCCAGAATTGATTAGACGAGTCAGTCGAGGGTGTAGACGGAACCGTGAACTAGAAATTTCTCTTATTTATTTTATATTTATTTTTATTTCCTTTCTTTATATTTTTAGTATTTTTAGTTAGTTTAATTATCAAAACTCAATCCTCCCATTTACCGCTTTTATAAATTCAATTAATACGAGAAAATTCACAATTTGATTTACACTCCCTGTGGGTTCGACCCTTGCTCACTACTACTACTACTAGTTGGTAGAAGTCGAATAAGGAATTTATAAATATTAATTTTGCCGCGTTGCAACGCGCGGTCACTCGTCCTTTGAATCACATGCACACTGGCTATAGTCCAATGCAGAGAGTAGAGGACCCCTCGACTTTGTACCCTTTTTTAGATGATACAAACGTCTAATTAGCAGAGCATTATAACTATTTCAAGAAAATAAGATTACAAAAATAAATAAATAAATAAATAGTTGTAGTTTGTACAATATACATCACATAGTCATATGATTTTAAACACTAACAATTATTCATATATGATGATACAAGAATTACCTGACGTTAGTCAGAGGACACGTGGCGACGATTGATGCTCCGACGTCTTCCTGAACTCGTCTTCTTTGCTCCGACGCCTGCAAAACATAACCCCAGGGTTGTCCCCAGGGGTAGACCCTCCGATGCTTAAGTTATAATCGATTTTAGGTTTTTTGGGGTGGTGGCTGCGGAATGAGTAGAAGAGAGAGTTTGGAGTAGTCAGAATATCCCTTACCTTGACCTAGGTCGTCCTTTTATAGGAGTCAGACGACCTAGGTCTCCCTTTTGCAGGTGGAGGACTCCCCAGCCCATAAGCTTCGTGGGCTGATCCCAGACCTTAGGCCCAAAGTAAAGCTCCTCTGGACCTTGGGCCTACAGTAACTCTCTTCAGGACGTTGGGCCCATAGTAAAGCTCTTTGGGACTTTGGGCCTGAATTGAGGTTGGGTTTCGGCCTTAGTCCTGGACTCTAACGATTCTCGAATCACACGTGTCTTTATTCTCTCGAGCCACGTGTCGTATAATAAATGTATATTTTTTCCCTTATCAATATATTATCATTATATTTAAAACAACCGATGTGCTAAGACCAACTTCAGCGCCGCTCTAGAATGGAGCAAAACGCTGGAGTAGCGTCAAATATATGCTCCAACCCTGCGCTGAAATCCGGCGCTACAACACATATGTGAACAGTGTTGCGCCAGATGTGGCACAACATTGTAGCAGCTCTACAATTTTTTATGTAATAATAATGATAAATTTTTGTATAATGTGTATTAATAAATGTATTTTTATGCTAAATAACTTTGTGCAATGTATTTTTTATGCTAAATAATTTCGAACTTTTTATTTATTGATGTATTAAAATTATATTTTAAAATTTTTTAATATTAAGATGGTACCATATGAATAAATATTAACACATTCCAACAAGTAAATAATTTTTTTTTTTTATTATTTGAGTACATACATATACCAATTCATTTGAAATAAAAATAAATAAAAAATATTTTTATTATTTGAGTAATAAACATTTTTTATAAAATTAAATATACATATATATACTAATTCATTTCAAATAAAAATAAATAAAATATCTTTTGTTTATTTGGGTAATAAATATTTATATAAGATTAAAATATACATATATATATACCATTTTATTTGAAAGGAAAATGAATAAAAAAATAATATATGTGATGTTTTGTAAATTGTAGAGATAAGAGATGAAGATGAATGTTTAACTCTACTCTAAAGTAGAGCAAAGTCCCCACTAAAGTATACATAAGGGTTGGAGATGGGCTAATGTAGATACATATGTTAATTAGAATTATTCAATTTTAGTCTTTTTTTTTTAAAAAAAAAAAAATCTTTGAAGCAGTGGTGAGATTTAATTTGAGGATGAAGTGGTCTATTCACATATCGAAGCTTCGATGTTGATTTTGCTATTTCAAAAAAATGCCCACATTTCAAAGCATTAACAAATCAAGGTCAACCAATAAATAAATAAATAAATACATAAAATGTTGAAATATCAATGGAGGTACAAAATAAAAGAACACGAATAAAAATGTAAAAGAAATTTAGAGTTACATTTTTGTTTTTATTTTCAATATTTACTGCAACAACTGACAGTATAAAAACTCGGATTCTTTTGAGGACCAGTATGGCTTTGTGCATTTGTGCTTTAAGCTGTGCTGCTTGTACTTTTATTACCATATAAGCACCAACATTTTCTGGATTGGCCAAGAAAAAAAATAATAAGCATTAATTATTAAGGAGCAATAAAACCATTCTCTGCAGCTGACCTACCAAATCAAGAATTTACAATTTTTGCCAACCTTTATGGTTTATCCAATAATCACTTTTTATTGTTGCACGATAAAATTACAAACAAAAAAATGTTTAAAAAAAAAAAAAAGGAAAACTATAGTACTTAATTATGTGATATATATGGTTGACCATATAGTCATTTAAGGTCCATGTAAATTGATTATTGTTTGATGTTAGCTCTCATTTCGTTAAATTGCCATCAGATGCGACATGACCATGCATGTTAATTACAAAATTTATTTTCTCACCGTCTTATATCTCTGCGGTTGGGCCTTGGTCTAGCCTTGGTTTTGTCCTTGACAATTGGATTGTGTGTTGGATTTACACTATCTTGGATGGTGTAGGTCGGTCTTAGGCTTGGGATTTGGGTTTAATCTCTATAATATTGTGGCCTAAAATAAAATTCAAATTGAATTAGGTTTGAATTTGTTTTCACTCAACTCGTGTGGACATTTCTAGATATAATGTATCTGGACATGTTGATTTCACCTGACCGTTACAGAAGTTATCGAACAGATAAGTGGTGTGTTAACATTAGAAAAGGGCTTCATCCTGACCGTTTTTTTCCATTACAACAGTCATGTGATGACTGTTACATGCCTTAATAGGCTGATGACCAGAGGAATCTCATACTTGGTGCCGGACCCCTAATGGTGTTCGTATGTAAACTTGGGAAACATTTAAGTTCAATGATGGATATTATCTCCTCTTTTTCAGTTCTGTCATTTTCACCAATCGATTATCAGCTAAATCCATTTGAATATTCATATATCTACAACTTGTTTAGATTTTTTATTTCTTTCAAGGACAAATTAGTATAGGAACAACTTTTTTCTCACTTTTTTTTTTTTTTTACATCTCCGGGGTAAATTCTGCCTTATATGTCTAGACTGAGTTTCACACCGTTGGATCTTGCAAGCTAGGTGTTGACAACCGACCTGAATCGTCCAATCCAAGGAAGCCGCGAGGAGGATTAGTCGCAAACCTAATACGCTGAAAAAGGAAGAGTGACCCGACTTGATGGAACTCATTATGGATATGAAGGAGAACCGACCTCTATAGTAAGATGGGGGCCGACATCCATGAAGAACCGAGGTCATGAAGAGATATGAGTCAAATGGGACACATGTTTGTCAACCGCCCATATCTTCATCATTACTTGTGGGGCCGTCTATAGGCTAGATACTCCTAGTCCGTTAAATCAAATTTAATGTTGTTGAATTAGTCTCAGAAGATGGGCCAAGAATTACTATAAATAGCAGCATTTACTCTGGCACTAGGATCTTTTTCCGACACATTAAATACTCTTATATGCTATCTCGGTTCCATGTAAAACCGACCTCTTATACTGAAACCCTGACTTGAAAATTATAAAAACAACTAATCTACAGCTTTCTATTCATTTAATCTCATTGATTATCGTTGTTAAATTTCACATAACAATATTAGGTATGTGTTCGTGTGTGATATGACAGCTTGAATCTCATGTTGGTGGTGGGCATATCGGTTCCATTCTTGTAAAACGTGAAATCGAACCTGACCGAACTAAAAATAATTGTAAATCATAAATAATCGGCTCAGTCCTGTTATTTAGAGAACAAATAATTAGTTCGGTTAATTTTACACAAACCGGTCCAATTCTCAATTTTTATTCAGAATGTATATGTACTAATTGAGAAACCGACTATATATGTACCATATGCATATTTTTTTACATATAAATGTATTTTATACGTACTAAACGCTTTCCATTCTTCATTGTTGTATTACGATTCTCGATTTTTCTGGATATATTTTGTATGTGAATAGTAGTTTTCTCATCAAGTTTTTAACTCAAAACTATTGCAATTCGGTTAATTAAGGAATTGCACTAGCCGAACCGTTATATCTAAGTTCGATTCTTTTTCAGTTCCTGCAAAAGTTGATGTATTAACTGAACCGATTACATTATTTCAGATCAGGTTTCGATTCTTGAAAAATATGATAAAAATCAAACCGGTCCCATTTCCATTTCCATCTCCATACTCCATAAGTGAGTGGGGTTGTGTGTGGTGGATGCCCATTTTTTTCACCAAAAAACAATAAACACTTATAATGCATTGATTGGAGGTCATGGCGAGGACTATTGGATAAAGTGGCCAATTGCATATATTCAATTATTACATGATGTGCTTCTTCACCAAAACCATTTGTTTCACCAACTTTTTGCAACGATAAAGAATATAAAATAATTATTTATTTATTTATCTTCAATTCTGGGGGTTTAATGGTCAACATTTTACATACAAATTAAAGAGATGACTAAGCATAACCCATGCCTTCGTTTGGTTTAAGGTTTGGATATATGGCAAAAAAACTAGCAAGAGAGAGTACATAATTTTGAGAAACATAATAAACTCTTGTTTGTGAGTACTGAGACGAGTATTTTAAGGTTGGGAATAAAAAAAAATTAAAAAATTATAACACATCACCCGCAGTAACAGTAAAATTCTTTGTAAAAATTAGCACACTCTTTACACCGACGTTTTCTTCCCCACTCTCTCTCTCTCTCACTCGTATTCTTCCTTTTCTGCTACACTCCACTTGCTGGCAAAATCCCACAAAACATATTATTAAACAATTCAACAAAACCACGAAAAAGATTCCGTCTGCATCCTTCCCCTTTCCTCCCCAACCCTAAATCCTCTTTCTCATCAACCATGCTTTAACAAAATTCAATCTTTCTTCACTCTTGTTTTTTTTTTTTTTTATTAATTACCAAATATATGACTTTTACAGCTCAAATCCATTGATTTCCCGATGGGCTGCGCCAGCTCGAAGCTCGACGACTCGCCGGCAGTGGCCTTGTGCCGCGAGCGCTGCTCTTTTCTCGACGAGGCCATTCGACAGCGTTTCGCCTTCGCCGAGGCCCACGCCGCCTATCTCCAATCCCTCAAGTCCGTCGGGCTCTCCCTCGATCGCTTTTTCACCCAAGATCTCGACGGCTCCGCAAGCGGTTCGTCATCCCCGGTTCTCAATCTGCCGGCACAGCGGAAGGGGGACCCGCATCCGCCCGGTTCGCCGCCGGATAAAATCCAGCACCACCTTCACTCCAACTCCGACTCCGACTCCGGTTCGCATCTCCACTTCCATTCGGACGACGAGGATGGATCCGATTCGGAGTCCCTGCATCTTCACGGCGAGGTCGGCTCGCCGGTCCACCACCCCCACCACCAGCCGCCGCCGCCGCACCTCCCCTACGGCGGCTATTTCCCCGGTTACGAGGATTTCAGCATGAATCTGCCCCCTCCCCGCGGCGGCGGCGGCGGGTTTATGAATATAAATTACATGAGAAAGCAAACGACTCCGTCCGTGGTCTACACGCAGCGGCCCATGAGCCCCGACACGATGCATATGGGTGAATCGTCTGCTCCTTCATCTTCCTACTACTCTTATCCTAATAATCAGAGCTCAAACCCTTCATACCCTAGGTACAGTGTCAACAATAATTACGGAGGATATCCGAATTACCCTTCATACGGCAGCGCCGGAGGTGGATTCTGGGGCGGCTCTTCTTCCAATTTTGCGCCGACATATGGCGGCGGATATTCATCTGCTCTGGCGGTGGCTTCGACTTCCAAAGCGCCGCCACCTCCACCCTCGCCCCCTAGCTCCTCCGCGTGGGATTTTCTCAACCCGTTTGAGAGCTTTGAGAAATTTTATCCCCCTTATACCCCTAGCCGAGACTCCAGAGAGGTTAGAGAGGAAGAAGGGATCCCCGATCTAGAGGATGAGGAAGATGAGGTTGTGAAGGAAATTCATGGGGAGCAGAATTTTGTGGATAGTGGTCGGAGCAGCCACTCGAAGCCCCGGGTGTCTGAGGAAAATGCCCGTGTGGCGAAGGAGGCTGAGTTACAGTATAGGTCGAGGCCGAGTGTGGGGAATGAGACTGAGCCTCCTATGGAATATGAGGTTCGTATGGTGGATAAAAAGGTTGTTGATGCTGAGAAATCAAAGGTTCAGGGGAATGCAGCTGGATTTAAGCCTCGTGGTGGGTTCAAGGAAGATTCAGATGTTGTGAGGGAGATTCAAGTTCAGTTTGAGCGTGCTTCTGAGTCTGGGAGTGAGCTGACTAAATTTCTTGAAGTCGGCAAGCTTCCTTATAAGCGAAAACACGGCAGCCATCATGGTAAAGATTTGATCTTTTTCGTGTTTGGTGGCCAAGATTCGATATTTATATGTCACTGCCACTTTTATGTGTAATTGGTGCCGATATTTGAATTCGGTTGAAGTAATCTTGTTATTCCAGGGGAAGCATTTGCTTTTTGATTTTTTTATTTTTTCCAGTAAAAGATTATATAAATTAACAATTCTAATCTTGTTGGCTAGATTGAAAAGGTTCATTCTGATTAAGTTTTGATTTGTGAGATAAAATGTTTTGATGAGATATACTAAATCCCGATGAATTCATTTTGATGTTTACTTTCTGCATTGCAGTTTCTTCCAAGATATTGCATTTACCTTTGATGTCCTCGCAACCATCGACATCTAAAAGTTCCAATGGCGCTGATCCCAACTTGTTAGACATAAATCAAGAATTAGAGCTTAGGTCCAAGAGTCTTTCGTCTACTTTACATAAACTATATCTATGGGAGAAAAAACTGTATGAAGAAGTCAAGGTAATATATTTGTAATATCTTCATTTACTCTAATTATCTGCTTGTGTGTCTATTATTTCATCTTCCTTTTCCCTGCTCCAAAATTATCTGCTTTTTTGTTTTCCTTTGGACAACTGAGGTTGCTCCAATATGCATATTTGCTTACTACATGAAATGTGGGCCCCTCACATGGCATCGTTATTCAATAACGCATTCTGGATTCAGTAAGAGATGACCTTCTTTATCCAATATCATGACATTGACATTAAATTCCTCATTTATGTTATGTGATAGATGTTTAGATGGTTTTCTTGGAGTAATTCATATATTCATTTACTTTGCATGATGAAAGCTAATATGTGATGAATGAGTACATTCACTTTTCAGGTTGAGGAAAAGATGCGAGTTCTCCACGAGCGCAAGTCCCGAAAATTAAAGCGCTTGGATGAAAAGGGTGCCGAGGCGCAGAAAGTAGATTCAACTAGGGCTTTAGTCAAGAGCCTGTCTACCAAAATTAGAATTGCAATTCAGGTAGTCGATAAGATCTCAGTGAAGATAAATACCTTGAGAGACGACGAATTGTGGCCACAACTAAATGAATTCATTCAAGAGTACGTACGTATGTTTTCATAGAATTTTCTCATAAAAAACTATTCTTGATCATCTTTCTATATTGAAATAGGAGTATCTTGATTGTGTCTATTTTAAAAAAAAAAAAATAACATCTTCTACTTTTTCCTAGGTTGACTAGAATGTGGAAGTCAATGCTCGAGTGCCACCACAGCCAATGCCAAGCCATGAGCGAAGCCAAAAGACTGGACGCCATCGCACTCCGAAAGCACTTGAACGATGCGCAATTTGAAGCCACCCAGCAGCTGGAGCACGATCTCATCAACTGGGCCACGAGATTCTCTTTTTGGGCCGAGGCCCAAAAGTCCTATGTCCGGGCCCTACACAGCTGGCTCATGAAATGCCTGCTCTACATCCCGGAAGAAACTCCCGATGGGATCGTCCCTTTCTCCCCCGGTCGAATCGGAGCACCACCTATTTTCGTCGTTTGTAACCAGTGGTGGCAGTCTCTCGAACGAGTCTCGGAGAAAGAAGTGCTCGATTCCATGCGTGACCTGGCATCAAACGTTCTCCAGCTTTGGGACCGGGACAAGGCCGAGATGCGGCAGAAAATGCTTGCCAGTAAAGACGAGCGGAAAATCAAGAGCCTCGACAGGGAGGAGCAGAGGATTCAGAAGGAGATTCAAGCGCTCGACAAAAGGGTGATTCTAACAAGTTCGGGGGACGATGGTGGAATGCTGCACGCTGTTTATCAAAGCGAGACCAAGAAAGGCAGGAGCCTCCAGTCGAGCCTGCAGCACGTGCTCCAGGCTATGGAGAGGTTCTGCACGAGCTCGGTCAAAGTTTATGAGGATTTGGTGCAACGGATTGAAGAAGAACATCTCGTCCGAAGAGGGCAATAAAGGGAATAATAGTACACACTTAAGAAATGTGGGTTCTTTTTTTTTGACCAGTTGGAAAATTTGAAAGTGTCAGAGGAGAATATTACTGTTGTGCCCTTCACGGGCACCAAAACGACGCATGAAGAGCCGATTGAATGTCGTTTCTTGATGAGTTGGGATGCGAAAAGTGCAGACTTTTGCAGTGCACGAATTGTGGTAATAATCGAGCGAGGGAGCATCGATTGTGGAGAAAGAAATAAGCAAAAAGGTTTATTATGAAATGAGCGACGTAGGTTTTGTGTATACTAGTAGGTTTTTACCAGTTGTATGAAACTTTCTTGTATAGGAATTCTTTGTATACGTTTGTTTGTTTGTGCGGGGTGGATTAGTATGGGAAATGGAAATCAACTGCAGAGTTGGTTCACCCTTCACATTTCAAGAGGCTGTAATATTTTTTGTTCTTGAAAGAGAGCGAGTGAGCCATTTTTTTTTTTTTTTTTTT